AACATAACTTTATCATGACAGGTATTCTTTTTGTAAGTTGACAGATTTGTTTTGCTCATATTTTGTTTTGAACTTTGTTTTGTTTTCAATCTATGTTCATGAGGGCGGGTGCCCTGTAATTTTCTTTTTTCCTGATATCTTTTTCAGGTTTTGGTAAAAATGTTATGCTGACCTCATGAAACAAACTAGAAAGTTTTTCCTCCTTTTTTATTCTCTGGAAAAGTTTGCATATAACTGGTATTATTTCTGCCTGAACTGATTGGTAGAATTTACCAGAAAAACCATCTGGGTTTGGATTTTGCTTTGTGGAAATATTTTTAAATTAAGGATTCAATTTCTTAGTTGATGGGACTATTCAGATTTTCTACTTCATGTTGTATTCCTTTTGGTAAGTTATATTTTTGTAGAAATTTGTTCATTTCACGTAATTTTTTCAATTTATTTTTTGTCTTTTCCAGAATGTCATATAGTTGAAATTGTACAGTATGTAGCCTTTTCAGATTGGCTTCTTTCACCTAGTAATATGCATTTAAGTTTCCTCCATGTCTCTTCTGGCTTGATTGTTCCTTTCTTTTAAGGTCTGAATATTGTCTGGATAGACCACGATTTATTTATTCATTCACCTACTGAAGGGCATTTTGTTTTGGCAAGATGAATCTCTAAGTTTTGGCAATTATGAATAAAGCAGATATAAGCATCCATGTGCAGGTTTTGAGTGGACAGAAGTTTTCGATTCATTTGGGTAAATACCAAGGAATACAATTGGTGGATCATATAGTAAGAATATGATTAGTTTTATAAAGAACCACCAAACTATCTTCAAAAGTAGCTGTACCATTTTGAATTCCCACCAGGAATGAATGAGAGCTCCTGTTGCTCCACATCCTCATCAACATTTGGTGGTGTCAGTGCTCTGCATCTTGGTCATTCTAACAGGTGTACAGTGGTATCTCATTGTTGTTTTATTTGCATTTCTCTGATGACATATGATGTGAAGCATCTTTTCATATGCTTATTTGCCATCTGTAAATCTTCCTTGGTGAGGTGTCTGTTAAGGTCTTTGGCCCATTTTTTAACCAGGTTGTTTGTTTTCTTATGTTAAGTTTCAGGAGCTCTTTGCGTATTTTGGATAATGGTCCTTTTTCAGATATTTCTTCTTTTGTAAATATTTTCTTCTATTCTGTGGCTTATCTTTTCATTCTCTAGACAGTTTCTTTCACAGAGCAGACATTTTTAATTTTAATGAAGTCCTGCTTATCAATTCTTTCTTTCATGGATTGTGCCTTTGGTGTTGTATCTAAAAAGTCATTGTCAAACCCAAGATCATCTAGATTTTCTCCTATGTTATCTCTTAGGAGTTTTATAGTTTTGCACTTTACATTTAGGTCTGTGATCCATTCTGAGTTTTTTTTTTTTGTGAACAGTGTAAGGTGCCAGTTGTTCCAGCACCATTTGTTTAAAAGACTATATATTTTCTACACCGTATCACCTTTGCTCCTTTATCAAAGATCAGCTGATTACATCTATGTGGATCTATTTCTGGGCCCTCTAGTCTGTTCCATTGATCTCTTTGTCTCTTTTTCCCAAATACCACACTGTCTTGATTACTTCAGCTTTATAGTAAGTCTTAAAGTCATGTGGTGTCAATTCTCCAACTTTGTTTTTCTCCTTTAATACTGAGTTGGCCTTTCTGGGTCTCTTGCCTCTCCATATAAACTTCAGAATCAGTTTGTCTATATACACAGAATAGCCTCGTGGTATTTCATTTGGGATTGAAGTGAATAAATAGATCAAGTTGGGAAGAATTGACATATTGACAATATTGAGTGGTTCTATTCATAGACATTGAATATCTCTCCATTTACTTAGTTCTTCTTGGATTTCTTTTGTCAGAGTAGGAGTAGTAGTTTTCCTAATATAAATCCTGGACATATTTTGTTAGATTTATACCTAGGTATTTCATTTTTGGGGTGCTTATGTAATTTTTAAAATGTCCACATTACCTGCAGTAATCTACAGATTCTAAAAAATCCCTATCAAAATACCAATGACATTCTTCCCAGAAATTTTAAAAATCCTAAAATTCCTATGGAACCACAAAAGACCCCAAAGAACCAAAGCAATCTTGAGCAAAAAGAACAAAGCTGGAAGCATCACACTACCTGACCTCAATATATTATGAAGCTATTGTAATCAAAACAGCATGGTACTGGCATAAAAACAGACACATAGACCAATGAAACAGAGTAGAGAGCCCAGAAATAAATCTACTCATTTGCAGCTAACTGATTTTCAACAAAGGTGCCAAGAATACACATCAGGGAAAAGACTGTCTCTTCAGTAAATGATGTTGGAAAATCTGTATATCCACATGCAGAAGAATGAAATTAGACCCTTATCTCTCACTATATACAAAAATGAACTAAAAATGGATTAAAGAATAACTTTAAGTGGAAGGCCCCAAACTATGAAACTGCTGTAAGAAAACATAGGGGAAATGTTTCATAATATTGGTCTGGGCAAGGATTATTTGGATAAGACCTCTAAAGCAGAGGCAACAAAAGCAAAAATGGACAAATGTGATTACATCAAATTAAAAAGAATTTGCACAGCAAAGGAGCAATCAACAGAGTGAAAAGACAACCTACAGAATAGGAGAAAATATTTGCAAACTGTACATCTGGCAAAAGGTTAATATGCAAAATATATAAGGAATTAGAATAACTCAATAGCAAAGAAATAATAATAACCTAATTTAAAAATGGACAAAAGACCAGAAAAGATGTCTCTCAAAAGAAGACATACAAATGGCCAACATATATATGAAAAAAAGTTCAACATCAATAAATATCAGGGAAACGCAAATCAAAATTACAATGAGATATCACCCCACCCCAGTTAGAATGGCTATCATCAAAAAGACAAAAGGTAACATATAGGCAAGTATGTGGAGAAAAGAGAATCCTTTCACACTGTTGCTGGGAATGTAAATTAGTACAGCCATTAAGGACAATAGTATGGAGATTCCTTAAAAGATTATAAATAGAAGTCTCATATGATCCAGCAATCCACTACTGGATATATATTGAAAGGAAATTAAATAAGTATATCAAAGAGATACCTGCACTCCCATATTTATTGCAGCACTATTCACAGTAGCCAAGATATGAAACCAACTCAGGTGTCCATCAACAGACAAATATCCATGTGGTATATATACACAATGGAATACTGTTCAACCATAAAAAAGAAGGAAATCCTGCCATTTGTGACAATATGAGTGAACCTTGGAGGACATCACGTTAAATGAAATAAGCCAGAGGTAGAAAGACAAATATTGCACGATCTCACCAAATGTGAAAACTAAAACGTTGATCTCATAAAAACAATGTAATGGTGGTTATCAGAGGTGGGGTTGTTAGCAGGGAGAAGGTGATGGTGAGATGTTGGTTAGAGAATATGTAAGTACAATTAAATAGGAAGAATAAATTTCAGGAGATCTATTATACAACAAGATGACTATAGTTAATGACAATATATTGTGTTCTTGAAAAATGTTAACGTGTGGATATGTGCTATCACCACAAAAATGATAACTGTGAGAGGTGATACATTTGTTAGTTACATTTAACCATTCTGCCATGTCAAAACATCATGTTGTACATGATAAAAATATACAAAGTTACCTGTGAGTTAAAGAAAAATAAATGGTATTGTGTTTTTAATTTCAAATTCTGCTTGTTTATTGCTGGTATATAGGAAAATGATTGACTTTTGAATATTAACTTTGTATCCTGCAACCTTGCTATAATCACTTATTATTCCAGAAGGGTTTTTTTGTCAATTCTTTCAGGTTTTATATATAGATAATCATGTCATCTGTGAACAAAGACAGTTTTATTTCCTTCTTCCTAATCTGTATACTTTTTATTTCCTTTCCTTGTTGCATTACCTAGTACTTCCAGTGCAATGTTGAAAAGCAGTGTTGAGAGACGATATCCTTATTTTGTTCCTGATTTTAGGGGGAAAACTTAGAGTTTCTCACCATTAAGTATGATGTTACCTGTAGGATTTTTGAAGATGTTTGTTATCAAGTTGAGAAAGTTCCCCTTTATTTCTAGTTTACTGAGAGATTTTATCATGAATATTGGTTTTTGCCAAATGCTTTTTCTGCATCTATTGATATGATCAGGTGATTTTCTTCTTTAGCCTGTTGATGTAATGGATTACATTAATTAATTTTCAAATGTTCAAATGTTGAACCAGGCTTGCATACCTGGGATAAGTCCCACTTGGTCATGGTGTATAATTATTTTTATACATTATTGGATTTAATTTGCTAATATTTTGTTGAGAATATTTGCATCTATGTTCATGAGAACTATTGGTCTGTAGTTTTCTTTTCTTGTAATGTCTTTGTCTGATTTTGGTATTAGGGCAACGCAGGCCATATAGAATGAGTTAGGAGATATTCCCTCTGCTTCTGTGATCTGAAAGAGATTGCAGGGAATTGGTAACATTTCTTCCTTAAATGTTTGCTAGAATTCACCAGTGAACCTATCTGTGCCTGGTGCTTTCTGTTTTTTAAGTTTATTAATTATTGATTCAATGTCTTTAATAGATGAATGCCTATTCAGTTTGTCTATTTCTTCTTGTGTGAGTTTTGGCAGATGTGTCTTTTAAGGAATCAGTCCATTTCCTGTACGTTATCAAATTTGTCAGCATAGAGTTGTTCATAGTCTTTTTTATTGCATAATAAATAAGTATATGATATGTTAGAAGGTGATAAGTACTTTATAAAAAGAAAAACTAGAGCCAGCTAAAGGAAATCAGTATAGCAGGCAGGGGGCAGGGTTGTAATATTAAAAAGAGTGGTTAGGATAGTTTTCATTGAGAGGGACGATTTGAAGAAACATTTGAAGGAACTAAGGGAGAAAGCTATACTGATAACCAGGTAAACAGTGTTATAGGCAGAAGGTAATACTAGAGCAAAGGCCCTTATGGGGGAGATGCTTATTGCGTTCAAAGAACAGCAAAGTGAGGCCATATATACATACATATATGTGTACACATAATACATATTCTTGATTCCGTCACTTTACATCACATCTTTGTGACCTGAAAGTTATTCTCTCACTGTAAGATAATGTTGATTTTTCAGTTTATTTCTCAGAGGCAGCCTGACTTTTCACACCTCCAAGTTCTTGGGGGATACTTTGTCTTGGCCCCCATGTGCTGAGACTGCTTGCTGGACTTCTCCGCAGCACTCGACACTGTTGGCCATTCTCTCCTTCCTTAGGCTTCATGGCCTCGTGACCCTGACTTCCCTCATCACTCCGTGGTTGCTGTTTCTCAAGATCCTTCACTTAGTCATCTTGCTACTCGTTGAATCTTGAGATTCTCTAGGGTTTTGTACTTCTCTCAATACTTGCAACCTAGATAGTTTCATCTACTCTTGTGGCTTTGACTGCCATCTCTAAGCTACTAATTTCCCCAAATAATATCTCGTTTGAGTCCAGGTCTATGTATCTTGCTGCCTTCTGGAAATCTCCCCTTATAGTTCAACAAATTCTAAATTTTTATGTCACATCCATCTGACAAGTTTCTAATCCTGGATTAATCCAACTGTCCTCTCTCTCCAAGTTTGTACCTGAGTAGCTGACTCATGCCACAGAAAATCACAGTCACCAACTGTGGTCACAGAGGTCAACTGGGCCCTCAATGCTGCCCTGCAATGCTGTCGCTTCTCTGTTCACCCCATTCTCCCATTCATCCCAAGAGATATTTCAAATCTCTTGTCTCTTCAAACCTACAGCACTGCCTCCACCATCTCTAAGCTCGAAAGATTCATGTAATAAAGGAACAATCATTTGTTAATGACTTGCTATGTCTCCTCCTAATTCACAAAGAGAGTGAAGCCATCACACAGAAACATCTTTAAAATCTGGCCTGATTTTCCATCTGTTGAGAAATGTGTTCTGACTGCCCAGCTACACTCAATAGCCCGCCTTGCATTTAAGAACTGTATGTTATGCTTCTCTTCTTCTCCAAAGCCGAGCACAGGGCCGGGGTTCACAGAGACTTGGGCTCTACTTTCAGTTGATATTATCCTCCATTTCTCACCACCCTGGCTTGTTTCTTGCAGCTGATCTAGAAGGCCAATCCTTAAGACACCGAGAAAAGCGGCTTAGTTTAAATTTGGTAAGTTTGGCACTTGGGTTCCTTTAAGACTCAATTTTACCAAAAATAGCCTAACCAATACAAGGGGTCTTTAAAAAGTTCATGGAAAGATTCACGTTATTTTTTAATTCCATTTTTTATACGAGCTGTTTGAAGTACCCTTAAAGTCTTAAGTCTTTTGATACTCAGCACTCTGAATCTCTGAGGACTCTTCCAATCTCCCTTTAAGGCTTGAACTTGTTTGGGAATTTCTGGACTTGGTGTTCTATAAGGACCCTGACAGTTCTAATGGTCTAGACACTTGTCCAACATGGAGTAACTACTTAAGGCATGACATTATACTTAAAGTATTTGCATAAATTTATAACTCTCTGTCTTCCAGCATCAGATCTAGGAGAGTCATCACCTATATTCACACAGTGAGTCCAGAGCCAGAACTTGAGCTAGAAGCTTGTCTAACTTTCCTGAGGAAGTTCACAGTTATTCTTGGAGAATTTGGAACTGAAACTATATGGGCAGCCTTGGCTGCTCACTGGTAGCAGTTTCCATGACTGGTCTGTGGTTCCCAACCTGTACCTGCTCTCTTGCAGCCATGCAGGTTCTCCCCGATGTACCCCACAACTTCAGCCAGTGCCGAAGACAGCTATGTGCCCATGAGCCCCCAGGCTGTTGCCTCTGATCTTGGACCTCACTGCAGCCCTGATGACTACATTCCGATGAGCTCAGGAAGCTTCTCAAGCCGACTGCCTGACCTACCTGCAGACATGGAGCCTCCCCCAGTAAATAGAGATCTGAAGCCTCAGAGGAAATGTAAGGCACTTGACCAGCCCTGCTGTGCAGGGGGACGGGAGCAAGGTCCCGGTGGCTGCATGGGAAAGATTTCCTTCCTGACCCTCCCTGGGAAGGAAGCACTAGAGAAACCATCCCAGAAGGATGGAAAGCATAAGGGCAAGAAATAAGTGGCTGGGGTGGAATGGGAAGGGCTGGGACACCTTGCTGCCCCGGATGGTCATGATAAAAGGAGTCATGGGACTTATCGGCACTGTGGCCCTGCAAATACAGCCTATAAAGCCAAGTTCATTCCAGAGGGCTCATCTTTGGTGACTTTTCTAACAAAGGCCCAGGGATAAGTTATGATGAATCAAAATGGAACCCACTTGGCATCTCCTCATTTAGGCAGCACTTGAAGGTACAGTGCCAGCCTTGTGTAAGACAGCCAAGAATGGCCTTTGACACCAATTCCTGAATGTTAGATCTGGTCACATTCAATCTGCCACTCACTGCTCTCTGCATACCCATTAGCACAGGTGTTTGGGGGTGGTAGAGGACTTCAGCAGTGAGCAATCTGACTCCTCTGTGCACAAGGGTCCCTTGCAGCTTCTGTGTTACTCCCAGGCAGTTTCTCTGGTCTGCTAAGCAGCATGGACAGACAGAAAAATAGGAAAAGAGGGAAAGGGGAAATTACACACATTTGGTTCAATGACTGTGATTTCTGACAATTCTATCTGGTTCATTTCCACCTCTCTTTGCTCTTTGGAAAAACTACCATTTGAGGTGGCTGTGCCCAAATCTGCTAACAAAACCCCCTACTCATGCCTGGTCCATTCCTGTCACACCCCTTTGAGTTTAAGTCAAAACATTTAGACATTTACAGACTGTTTGCTGTATGTGTGCTGCGCTAGCCACGTGATGAGATGCAGTGGTGAGGAAGCGGGGGTGCTCTCTAGTCTGAGGAGCAGGAAGATCTGTACAAACCACCTGGAAGAAGAAATTGAATTATGAAATCAGTACTAAGTAGGAGAACAGACTCTGTCTATGTGGTTCAGGGGAAATAACCATTTATTCTGGTCAGAAACAATTTCATGGGATCCTGTAACTTTGAGGTAGGTATTATTGTTTTGCCCAATTAATTTTCTATAGCAGTGCCATCTAACAGAACTTTTTGTGATGACAGAAATATGGCTATTGAACATTTGAAATGTGGCTAGTGCAACTGAGGAACTGAATTTTAAATTTTACTTAATTTTGATAAATTTATATATGTGTATAAAGAGCAACATGTAGCCAGTGGTCACTATATTGGACAGTCCAGCTCTATGTAAAACCTGGTGATAGGCAGACATAAGATGTTTGATGGACTGAATATTGGAGGTTTATCAGGTGGTGTAAAGTTGGGCACCCAGGCCAGGAGGGGTAGGTTCTGGGATGAATCCTGAGGCTGAGGCAGGAGAGGGCAGGCAGGTAATGTATCCAGGAGGTGGCTGGTGTGTGAATCTGATGTCAGGATGTTAATGCTGCTAGGAGAGACCTTCTCCCCAGGATTGCCTGATTAACGTGTGCTTTTCAGCCCAGCCACTTGTCCAGGTCCAAGGCTCTTGGGAAAGCAATTGGGCAGAGGGAAGGTCATTGTCCTAGGCTCTGGCGACATGGAAGGGAATTAGACAGTGTCTACCCATATAATCTAGTGGAGGAAAGAAATACAAAAGCAGCTTGGTAAAGGCAGTGATCGAGGAAGACATGCATGACTAACTCAGCAAGAAGGGCCACTGTACTGGAAGAAGGGTCAGGGCAGATGCCAAGTGCTGCTCTAGATGCCAAGGCTACTGCAGTGAAAGCCAGAAAAACCCCTGTCCTCCTGGATCACGGCCTAGACCTAAATCAAATCATCACAGATAAATGTATCATCACAAACTGGGAAGAGTGCCATGAAGGGTAAGTACAGGAACCTATGAGAGCCCATGACGTGGGGCCTAATCTTGTCTGGAAGTGAAAGAAGGCCTCCCTAAGCAGGGGACATTGAGCTGAGATCTGAAGATGAGTAACTGGGCAAAGAGATGGGGAAGAATATTCTAGGCAGCAGGACAATGGACTGAAGGTGAGGAAGACTATAACCTATGTGATCATCTTGGCCTGTGATAAGAAAGGTAAAATTTCTATTTTAGATGGGTCAAGTGTGAGGTAGGCATTGGGATTCAACAATGTATGAGACTTTCATCTATTTTGTTCATACTGTGCCTCTAACACTTAGAACCATGCATTACAAACAGTAACTTCTTGCTGTGGATGGAGGTGTGTCCCCCAGAGTCCATGTATTAGAAACTTGGCCCCCACTGTGACAGTGTTAAGAGGGTGGGAAATTGTATTACGGTAATTGAAAGGTGGAGCCTTGAAGAGGTGATTGGATTGTAGGACCGTGCAGTAGTGAATGGATTAATAAGTTGATGGTTTAATGGTGGTCCTGGGCATGGTTCTGTAGACTTGAAAAAAGGAGAACAAGTGAGGAGTTAGCCCTCTCTCTGTCCACTGTTCTTACCATATGACACCCTGCACTGCTATAGAGTCACCTCATGAGATGTGTTTCCTGGACTTTGGACTTCCCAGCCTCCAAAACTGTAAGCGATAAATATTGTTTCTTTTCCAATTACCCAGTTCCAGGTATTTCTGTTATAAGCAACAGAAATGAACTAATACAATTCTCAATAAATGTGTGACCATTTGCTTGGTAATTGTCTTTACTCCCAGTGAGGCAGCGAAGAGTAAGACAGTGAAACTCACACTATCATCAGTGCTGCCTGTTAGTAAATTTGGATTTGTTGTGCTGGGAAAGTGGAATGTCACAGTTTTACAGTATTTAGATTCTGGCTTTGAACTCCTGAGAACTAACCATCCTGGGTACTGTGTGCTGTCTTGTAGCACGGCCACCTCCCCTGGACCTGAGAAACCTCTCCACCATCCGGGAACACTCATCTCTAACCAGGACCCACACTGTGCCTTGGTAAGTCTCTGATTGCTCAAGTGGGCCTCATCTAGCACAGACACACCCGGTCTTTTTAATTAAATGTAGCTAAAGCCCACTTGATGTAGCATAAGCCAAAGGAAGGGCAGGGTTTATTATCAAGAGCTAAAGATCACAAAGGAAGCAATATGACTGGGTCTCCCAGGATACTGGAACCAGGAACTAGAGTGCTGTTGGAAACCCAAGGAATCCTCTCTCCATCTCTCATGTTTGCTTCTCTCTTCACATTTGCTCATTCCTCTCTCTTTGCAGTACTCTTTACTCTGTCGCCAAATCCGCATGGCCAAAGATAGATGTACCATAGCTCCTGAGCTTGTTTACATGCTACCATTCCAGGACCAACAGAGATGGGCTCTTTTACAATCCCAATTCAGATTTCCTGGTGAGAGAGAATTGTGTTGCCCCAGACTAAATATAATCAGCTATGGGCCACAGGGTGGGCAAGTACTACCAACATGGCTTCCAGAAGCCCAGCTTTGTGAACGGCATAGAAGAAGAGAATTCTCTGAGAAGGAGGGGTAGTTCATGGGCTGAGTAAACAAACCCCAAAATGTATCTGCACCCATTCATCTCATCTTTTAGAAGTTGTGTTTTCAGAGTCCTGAGCCTAGCCCAGGAGCTTCTTAGTTAACTATAAATGCCACAGGACACAATCACTTTCTAAAGCAGAATTCTGCAGTGACCTGTATTTCCAGCTAAGACTAGAGAGACTCAGGCTGTGCTTCTGACTCAGGAGTAGGATGTCCTATCAGAGGAATGGCCACACTTTCTTACTTTTCCTGGTTACTTTGAATGAAAACAAGAGTGCCCAAAACAGTGTTTTTGTTTTGTCTTGTTTTGTTTTTTTGCTAAATGATGCAATGCTTTGGTCTATTTCTAGAAAGTTCACATATGAGCTGTGTCACATGGAGGGGCTGGGGAAAAAAAAGCAGCCTTTGCAAATTGGAAGCCATTTGCTCCAGAGTGGGACAGAAGCTGCTGGGCAGTCTCTGCTTCTTCAGAATTGCTTTGACCGGAAGGAAGTTGTGTCTGGAAGGGGAGGGCTGAAACCCCACGGGGCCATGTCAGTTCCTGGCTGGCTTTCAGAGCAGCTGTGAGACATTGCTTTGACCTCATCTATATTTTTGTTCTTAGCAATCGAACCAGCTTTCTCTCTCCAGAAAGAAATGGTATTAATTCTGCAAGCTTTTTTGCCAGTCCTGTTTCCAGAAAAGAGGAAGAAAGCTACCTCCGAACGGTAACCCTGCATTTTTCACACTCTCCTATTCTTCACCCCAATCTATATTCTCGTGAATTCATTATAAAGGAAACATCCTTCAGAAAGCCCTGTGCAATCTTAAAACAATCACTTGATTGTAAAACTAGGTCATGAGCTTTTCTAGACTGAGAACAAGTCTATTTGAGGCTGGTTTTCTTTCCCGCAATATTCAGTTCTTCATCTTCATACCATTTTTGAGGTCACAGTATTTCAAGAGAACCCAGAGCTGAAACATGCACAATAAGAAAATGGAAATGCTAACAAGGCTGTGATGTCCTGTTTGACCTCAATAGGTTTGTAGTTCCCTGACATATTGGATGCTCCCTTCTACCATAACACCTGGTGGCCCTGCCCTAACTGCCTCAGAAACTTCCCAAAGGATGAATCACTTACAGTCTTGTTAGGAGAAGTACAGTGGCCTGGACTGTGACTTAGGCTCTGCAGACTCCTGTTATAGGGGTTTCTGTAGACCTGACATCTCTTTAGCCATTCACAGTTCAAGACTCCTGGTGTTTCCCTCTTGCCGTGTTGGCCCTTCTGTTCTCTTCATCTTGGATGCTATTAAGAGCGTGGGTTTTTGAAGATGGAGAGGGGCTTTTAGCACCTTTGGCAATTAGTGGGCACATTAGCTAGAACTGTGCCCATTCTGCATTTCAGAAATGTAGAGAACTCTAGGGAGAGCTTCCATTTGAACTATGAAATTTCGAAAAGAGATCTTAGAAGGGCAATGTTCAAGCACTGTGAAGAAGACAATTCTGCCCTCCTACATGAAAATGATACATGAAAATAATAGACAATTGAAAACCTAAAAATAGTAATCTCAATTACTCAATAATTAAAAACTTCATTTTGCCTGTTTATTTGATAAAAAATTGTGCTGTAAGTGCACTTAACCATATGCAGATGGAAAGTGACTCATGTACAAATCTGCTGTGCTCTTCCCAATATTTCTCACACTTAGTAATGGCCCTTGGGAAACTTCTAGAAGAAAACACTCTTATAAAGGTTGCTAAACAGCTGTGCTCTGTCTCCAAGGAACAGAAAAGGGAACTGAATATAAAACCTAGTAGAAACAAGTGCAGTCATACCAGACACCAGCAGTTCACTTCTGATCTTTGAGGTTGTGAGAAAGACCAGTATTTCATTAACAACACAGGAAAAGATTCATTGCTGGCCTGAGTTTATTTTTTAAATTTTTTTTAGTTTTAATTTTTTCATTGTACCTGTTTGTCAGATACAATTTGTTGTTTCAATGTGTACACTGTATAATGATCTAGTAAGAATAGTGAGCACATATATCACCTAAATACGTATCATTTCTTTCTGGTTATAACATTCAAGAACCTCTTTTCTGGCCACCTTGAAATATACAATACAGTATTAATTAGCTATTGTCGCCCTGGGGCTTATTCCTGTCTAACTGTAAGTTAGTAACTTCGCACCTGTCACCAACCTTTCCCTAGTCCTGCCTATTCCCTGCCTCTGCTAACCACCATTCTACTATTTCTCTCCTTTTTTCCTCTCTTTTAAATTTATTTTTCTTAATTGGCCCATGACAATTGTATATACTTATGGAGTACAATATGAAAATTGGGTACGTTCATACTGTGTGCAGTGATAATATCAGGGTGCTTAGTATGTTCATCACCTCAAACATTTGACACTTGTTTGTGTGGGGAACATTCAACACCATCTCAACTAGCTATGAAAAGATATGCAGTACTTTGTTGTTAAGCATATTCTCCAAGTGTTTCTATAGAGCAGTAGACGCCATTCTTCTGTCTCTCTAATATTTTGTACCCACTGACGACACTCTCCGCATACTCCTTTACAGTTCCCCTCCACCAGTCTCTAGTCACCACTATTCTACTCTCTACTTCGATGAGATCAACATTTTTACCTTCCACTTATGAGTGAGAACATGTGGTATTTTTCTCTCTGTCCGGCTTATTTCACTTAACCATTTTCTCCAAGCTCATCCATGCTACTGTAAATGGCAGAATTTCCTTCTTTTTTATGGCTGAGTGATATTTCATTGTGTTGATATACCACATTTTCCTTATCCAGTCATCCATGGAAGGACATTTAGGTTGGTTCCAACTCTTGGCTACTGCGAATAGAGCTGTGATAAACATGGGAGTGCAGGTGTCCCTTCAGCTTGCTGATTTCCATTTCTTTAGGTATACACCCAATAGCATGATGGCTGGATTATATGGTAGTGCTATCTGTACTTGTTTGAGAAACCTCCATGCTGTTTTCCATAGTGATTGTACTAATTTTCAGTCCCACCAAAACTGTAGCAGAGTTCTGCTTTCTCCATATCCTCACCAACACTTGTTATTTTCTGTCTTTGTGATAAGAGCCATTCTAACTAGAGTGAGGTGATATCTCATTGTGTTTTGATTTGCATTTCTCTGATGATAGTGATGTTGAACATTTTTTCATAGGCCTGTTAGTCATTTGTATGTCTTCTTCTGAACAATGTCTATTTAGTTCCTTTACCCATTTATTAATCACATTATTATTATTACTATTATTATTATTATTATTATTATTATTATTTTAGTATTGAGTTTGTTTGAGTTCTTTCTGGATATTAATCCCTTGTCAGATGCATAGTGTGCAAATATTATCTCCCATTCTGCAAGCTGTCTTTCACTCTGTTCATTATTGTTTCCACTGTGCAGAAGCTTTTTAGTTTCTTATAATCCCATTTGTTAACTTTTGCTTTTTTTCCCTTTGATTCTGAAGTATTACTCATAAAGTCTTTGCCCAGACCCATAACATCCTGAAGTGATTCCCCTACCTAGAAGTTTTGTAGTTTCAGGTCTTACATTTGAGTCTTTAATTCACTTTGAGTTGATTCTGGTAAATGGTACAAGATAGGGATCTGGTTTTATTCTTCTGCATATGCATCTTCAGTGTTCCCAGCCCCATTTACTGAAGACACTGTCCTTTTCCTAATGTATGTTCTTGGCTCCTTTGTCAAAATCAGTTGGCTGTAGGTACATGGATTTATTTCTGGATTCTTGGTTATGCTCCATTAGTCTATGTGTCTGTTTTTAAGCCAGTACCATGCTGTTTTGATTACTGTCACTTTGTAGTATATTTTGAGATCAGGGAATGTGATACCCCCCATTTTGTTCTTTTTGTGCAGGATTGCTTTGGCTATTTAGGATCACTTATTGTTCCATATAAATAATTTTTTCTTATTTAAATATTTATTTTTTTAAATTTAAATTTTATTTTGTCGATATACAATGTGGTTGATTATTGTGGCCCACTACCATTTCTGTGCCCGACTTGTTTCACTTAATATAATTCTCTCAAGGTCCAGCCATGTCTTTGCAAATGGCAGTATTTGATTCTTTTTTATAGCTGAGTAGTATTCCATTGTGTAGATATACCACATTTTCCATATCCACTCATCTGATGATGGACATTTGGGCTGATTCCAAATCTTGGCTATTGTAAATAGTGCTGCAATGAACATTGGGGAACAGGTATACTTTCGACTTGATGATTTCTATTCCTCTGGGTATATTCCCAGCAGTGGGATAGCTGGGTCATATGGTAGATCTATCTGCAATTGTTTGAGGAACCTCCATACCATTTTCCATAGAGGCTGCACCATTTTGCAGTCCCACCAACAATGTATGAGAGTTCCTTTTTCTCTGCAACCTCGCCAGCATTTATCATTCAGCATCTTTTGGATTTTAGCCATCCTATCTGGGGTGAGATGGTATCCTCGGTGTAGTTTTGATTTGCATTTCCTGAAAGCTGAGTGATGTTGCACATTTTTTCATATGTCTGTTGGCCATTTGTATATCTTCCTTAGAGAAATGCCTACTTAGCTCTTTTGCCCATTTTTAAATTAGGTTGCTTGTTTTTTTCTTGTAAAGTTGTATGAGTTCCTTGTATATTCTGGATATTAATCCTTGGTCAGATGTATATTTTGCAAATATTTCCTCCCACTCTGTTGATTGTCTTTTAACTCTGTTAATTATTTCTTTTCCTGTGCAGAAGCTCTTTAGTTTGATATAATTCCAATTGTTTATTTTTCCTTTGGTTGCCCGTGCTTTTGGAGTATTATTCATGAAGTCTGTGTCCAGTCCTACTTCCTGAAGTGTTTCTCCTACGTTTTTTTTAAGAAGTTTTATTGTTTCAGGGTGTATATTTTATTCTTTAATCCATTTTTAGTTGACTTTAGTGTATGGTTCAAGGTATGGGTCTAGTTTAATTCTCTTGCATATTGATATCCAGTTCTCCCAGCATCGTTTGCTAAAGAGGCAGTCTCTTCCCCAGTGTATAGGCTTGGTGCCTTTGTCAAAGATCAGATGGCTGTAGGTGTGTGAGTTGATTTCTGGATTCTCTATTCTATTCCATTGATCAGTGTGTCTGTTTTTATGCCAGTACTACGCTGTTTTGGTTATTATAGCTTTGTAGTATAGTTTAAAGTCAGGTAGTGTTATGCCTCCAGCTTTATTTTTATTTATTTATTTATTTAT